CACAAATAAGAAAAGGGATTTATCCAAGAATTTTGTAGGACTTTCTATTTACCAAATTAAAAAATAAAAAAGAATCTAAACAGTAACTTTTAGAAATAATATCCATTGTCATTATTTTGAGTATCTGCTGAACTGTAGCAATTCAAAGAGAAACAAAACTACAAAACAGTTCAATATCTTTCTAGAATAAAACAAGTTATAACATTATAATTTTGTCACTACACAACAATTAACATGTTATAAAACAAGAAAAATTGCTTTCAATCTAGTAGGAAATCAATTAGAGAGGAAGAAAAATGCAACTTGACAAAAACTGAGTCTTAAATATCAAGAGCAACAAAAATTCTTACACAAGTAAATGTGACGACCTCAAAAGACAAAGAAAAAAACAAAACGAAAGAAAATAAAATTAGTGTAAGATGTATTAAAAAAAATCTTATCTTGCAATATATTCAGATATTGCAGAAGATAAAAACTTGCTTAGCATTTTATGCTGAACTTCACTTTAAACTGAAAGCAAACTATAACCTATTAATTCAGTTAAATCCAGTTGATTTAGTAATATTTAATAACAGCTTAATTATACTGTGCATCTGAATAACTATTATGTTAAGCCAAATAGATATATATAAGGACTTGTGTGATGTTAAAGAAATTGAAACAAAGATTAATTTCTACCTATAATATTAAACTTAAGAAATCAGGTATGTTAATAAAGATTTTATTATTAATACACACAAATCAACCAAAATAATGATAACAGCTAACTTTAAGATAAATAATATTTTTCAAGGACAGCAGTAATACATTTATCATTTAATTGACCGTATTTAAAGCAAGCCAAAAGTGAAGATCATCATAATATTGATTGTTTAATGGCTGTCAAATCTCACTTGAACATAACAATTTTGAGCATGTGAAAAGCTACACTAATTATAACAGCTTTCAAATTTGGTATATTAACATTTCAAACCAAGTGAACCATTAAGAATCATAGTTTTTAAATAAAATTCCCTTGTACAAAGCAGTAATAATAGGAGACATTAAAATAGTATATGCATGCATAAATAATAATAATAAAAAAAAAAGTAGAATTTTCAAAATGTCCATAGCTGTGTAATCGTGGAATTTGGATTATACCAGAGCACATCACCCTATCAACAGCCTCTCACAAAATAGATTTTTAAAATCTGAGACCCATACATGATAATTATTTAAAAAAAAAAAAAAAAAAAAAAAAAAAAAAATCAAATAAAAATAAAGAATAAAGAATATACTCTCCAGTTGTTATCACAGCTAAATTCTGATTTTTCAATCTGCAGATTTTCTTGGTGGTGAGAGAGTAGTCACGTGTAAGCTTGACATAACAGCAATGATGGGAAATTGGTTGTTTTGGGTTTTTTTTTGTGGGATAAGCAAAATAGTAAGACACACAAGACAACCAGCAAATTAGTGTTATTGATTAAGCAACACTACTAGGATATGCTCATGACACAAAATGAATCTTCTGACATCAAGGTTTTAAAATATGAAGAGAAAAAAAAAAAAGAAAGAAAAAGGTTATCTGCCCCTATCATCACTCATTCACTATTTACATCACAAGTTAGAACTGGGAGAGAGGAAAAACAAAACAAACTATTTTCCTAATTGAGAGAAAGTTAAAATTTTGAATGAAAATGTACAAATTAAAAGAGAAATCAAATAGATGACCTAAAGTAAAGAAAAAAAAATCAAAACAACATACTACTTGATTATAATGGGTTTTACAAGTAAATAAATGTACTGATGGCAGTGGGGGGGGTATATAACATTTGTCCAAGGTTCAGCAAGCTCACTTCCACCATGTTAACCAGATGAAGAAGAAGACTGATCAATCACTTTTACCAAAAGAACCACATCTACTCAAGTGCAAATAAAATAGAGGAAAAGTGAATAAATTAGAAAAATGAAAAATAAAACAACTTTTGTAAGAATTACAAGTGAAAGCTAATTACTGCCACTGACAGATATACGTGGCACCACAATAATGATAGAGTATGTGGCAACATATAAATACAGTTTTTGCTTAAGTACCACTTTGCTTGCACTTTGGCTTTTCTTTTTTGGTTAATGGCAGACAACCTTCTGTTATATAGTCTTTTCTTAGCACAAACAATACAAAGATTATTAAAATTTTGAGAAAATAAGAAAAGGCTCCAGATGAACTGAAATGATAGTTTGTTTTTAATGCCATTGTAGATTGTCAACTAAAGGAAATAAGCATACACAAGATTCTTCAAGAATTCATCAAATATCAGACAGCATTCTAATCCATCATTTATCAACTGGAAGGTCATTTTTCCTCTTAATTACAAACTAAAACAGAAGAGCAAAGCCTTTAAATTTGAATACGTAGCAAAGAAATTTAAGTATTTGTTCAGAGCAAGAGGGATCAATAAAAAAAAAAAATGAAAAAAAATTGATAAAACATTTAATTATTATATAAACAAAAGGTAATGGATTTAGTTACTGGTATAAACATTCAGCAGTAATTCTGGTTACAAATATAAAAGGACCTTTTGCTCTGCCATAGCTACATAACATTTATAAAAAATGATTTTTAATGATACCCGTCTGATTACTTTAAGAGGAAAACAAATTTAGTTAATGAAACAAGTTTTAAGCTTAGAGATTATAGTAATTTTTATAATTTGATTGATAACCTTAAGATACCATTGTAGATAAAATGTGGCCAGAATATTCCATACATTGAGAATGAAAAATTAAAAAAGTAAACATCTTTAAATTTTAGCACAACTTTAACAGTTAACAAGACTATGAAAAAAAAGGTAATTGTACAAAGTGCTTTAAGTTGTCCAATATCCCCATTTCTTATTATGTTGTATATATGCCAACTTTAAGTAAATATTACATTATGGATTCTTATCTACAAACATATATAAACTTAATTGTGTTTCCTTCAATAGCCACTGGTGGCTGTAGGAAGCAGCAAAAAGCATAAGAGTAAAAAAGATTGTGGTGGGGGAACTTTACTCATCACAGCCATTAAAACAAAGAAAAAATAAAAATCAACACTAGTTGCTATGAAATAGTTGGTGCAAGATCCAATGGTGTCTGACAATCCTGCCTAACAACAATACTAAACAGTTATTTAAAAAATAATCTGGAAGGATGCTGCAGCTAATGACAAATTTGGATGTCAGCAACAGAAGAAAAATGTTTGTTTGATTTAATTTTTTCCACATTTAATTTTACTTTTTATTACAAAAATAAAAATTCAAAATTTTGCTGCATAAGTAAATGTTTTGGTTTTAATTAAAGTTCACTTTTATATATATATATATATATATATATATATATATATATATATATATATATATAAATAAACACAAAATAAACATAAAAGCAGGCAAGTAATCTTCCTTTTGAAGTACGATGGCTCAGCAATCAGCTGAAAAATATCTGCACATGCAAACTAATTACTCTGAATGAACTGCTGAAAGAGCTGCTGATAGAGCAACTCAATGGAATTTCACTTTAGCACAGAGATATTATTTGTGTGTGTATGCATACTGCATGCATGTGTTTAGCAAGTAATAATATATCAATACATCCACGTATATCTTGAGGTAGGTAGTTGCTAGAGAGGAGCCTAGAGGTGGAGTGAGGACACAAATAAAAACCTAGGCTCCCAAGAAACACAAACAGATCAAGCAAAGAATCTGACAATGCCACAAATTTCAGAAACCCAAATTGATAAGAAAATAATCACTAATAAATCTTATTAATTATTAAAGAGAAAAAAATGACATGAAAATATAATTTGAGGCAATAAAAGAGTGAGGTTAAAAATGCTTTCTAGCATCTGTTCAAATAGATTAAAATGACAATAGTAGATGCATATATCATGAAACACTTGCAGATTTGGTATGTACTGAGCAGAAAAGTCAAAGGACTTGTCCAAGATGTATATAGCTGCACTTTGACTCAAACATAAAATATATTGCTTAACATGGCTGGTGACAGAAGTCGGCATCATCACATGAGCTATGCTACTGAACCCATGAACATTTTGAGAGAATGATAATATTAAATACAAAAATGTAAGAGTGACTGGAGAGAGGCAGATTTTAAATGTAGATAAAATAGAAAGAGAAAAAAAAAATCAAAATGATCAGCCCATTTCAAGCAGGGTGCAGATAAAAATTGTGAACTTAAAATAAATTTTCTTTAAAACTAAATATCTGGGCATAAAAAAAATATTCCTGCTTTAAGTGATTAAGCAAAACTAGCAATAAAGTGGCTGGAGTTTTTGCTTTAAATGGAGCTGCTTGCATGCAGGGAAACATATAGATACATGCACATGAATCAAAATTGTATCATGGCTGGAGTACTTGTGGTCTATGATCATTATCTACCCGTCATCCAGCCCAGCCTTTGGGCCTGGATTAAAAGAAGAAAAAAGAAAACGATATTAGGGCAAATAAAAAAAAAAAAAAAAAAAAAAAAAAAAGATTAAAATTAAACTGACCATTAAAAAATAAGGTTATTGAAATACATGACCAATAATCACTTCTGGTTTTAAGAAGCAGAAAAAAAAAAAAATAAAATAAAAGGTCAGCCAAGAGAGAGCCCTAGATTCAGTATGGACAAAAGAAAAATACAACGATTAGAAGCAGTTGGAGAACCCAGCACCATACAAGGGCAACAACAAAGCACATTGAAAACCACAAGTAATCAAAAATGTTACAATAGAGAACTAAGACTAAAAATGTGTTTTGTTCTGTTTAGTTCAGTTGTTTGTAATTTCACTTTCATTCTTTCTTTCTTTTACTCTTCCAGTGACAGAATCTCTTAAAAGTTTTCCCTACTGGAGTTGAAGCTGAGAGGAGGAAGAGGAATAAATCACAGAATAGCATTGGGGGAGATAACCGAGACAGGGTAAGCTTCTATCTCATTTTTTTTTCTCCTCCTCCTCTTTTGTTATTTCCTTGTCATAGTTAACGTTGGTTCCTGCCTTTCCATGCTTGGTCGTCCAATAGAATATGCATGTAGGCAGGTTCTGCATCTGCCTGTGCATCTAACACAGCAGCAGGAAGCTGGCTATTCTTCAGTGGTAGCCAGTCACGGCCAAGGCTTTCAGACACCTGATAAAAGAAAAATATTTAAAAAATGTAAGAGAGTATAAATTCAGTAATTTATGTTTGGACTTTTTGAGATGCAGACTTAGAATTAATACAGACCTCTCCATTTCGACTAGTATCCTCATCTTGATTGTTATAACAAACAAGCCGAGTATACTTCTCTGAATGGAAAGGCATCTATCTAACAATACAAAATTAGTTTTAAAATTTCCTATTAAAACATGAATAATCAGCTGATGAGTAAATATTTATAAAAACTCTCATTTCCACCTCATCCCCATGTACTAAAAATACTACAAAAAGAAAAAAGTACTTTTCTGAATTTATTTCTATTTACACATTTCTTTATGCAAGTCAATTTTAATAATAAAATTGATATTAACCAATTGGTACTGGTAAAACTTTCACAATATGCTTATATAACAAATGAATTTCAGTTTATGGTTTTTACTAGAAACATTTACAGCAGCTTATTTGATAGTATGAGATTTTATTATGCAACCTTATGCAAGAAATATAAATAGACCTATAAAACTTGCCATGAATAAAATTAAAAAAAAAACTCTGAGAGAAACAAGAGATTGTCAACCCTACACGCAAGCACCAATCTGCCACTGGGTGGCATGCCACTAGTGTTTACCACTGGCGGAATATTCTCAGCAATGTTACCACTGGTGGACCGCTAGTGGCCCAGTGGTGGCTGCCATCAGAGGACCACTGGTGTTGACATTGGCAGCCCACCAGCAGTTTGTGTGTAGGGAAGTTATTGAAAATGATTGTAAATTCTTGGGCAATTTGTTTTTAATCATTAATAGAGGTCAGAATCAAAATGCTTTAAGTTAAAGAGTATATTCATGTAAAACAATTTACATTCTGCATATTTGACTATTAAGGCTTGTCATCAAAGATTTCAAAACCACCAAAACAATGAAATGGTTACCAGCATCTCTAAATATTAATAGTCCATCAATTAAAACAGTAGAAAAGTTAACAAAACCAATGGTAAAAATAATGATAAGGATAAACAAAAACATTTGATAAAAGGTTATAGAATTTCTATCTGAATTTCTGAAATGAGAAGCTATCATTATTTACATTAAGGCTAATGTCCACATCTTTGTTAGCATCACATTTCAGTCATTGGGACCTTCAATAAGTAACCTTCAATGGAGTTTGAATTGAATCCTTTATTTAATCTATGGAGGTCATCACTGTACATAGACAGCAGAATGAAAACAATCTACCTTCAAAATTAAATAAAGGGTTCAAATCTAAATTCTCTGAAGGTTACTTGGATTGACATATACCAAAAAAGAAGGCCAAAGAATACAACTGAAGAAATGTTATGATAACAACTACAACAAAGATGAGTATATTATGTAAATAAGGTTTTAGAATGTCAAAATTAAAAAAAAACAATTTATTCATGTATGAGACCTATTAATCATATATTAATTTTTGTGGACTTTTTTTTATATTATGTTGCTTTTGTTTGCATTATAAAACTCAATGCTCCCTCAAGAAGTTATCAATATTTTTAATAAAAGTTATATTATAATTTGAAATGCACAATAAGCATATAAATCAGCATTTTTCAACTGGGGCACCTGGGCATACTAATGCACCCTGAAAGGTAGCCAGATCCACCCCAACTTAACAGAAGACTAATTTATAAATTATTTTTACCTTCAAGGGATTTAAATCAGGGTCTCTAAATATATATATATTTCTTCATAAATCCTTTTTAAATGAAAACTGTACTACTAACAATCTTTGGGAATGCTAAAGAAAAAAAAAATGACAATAATTAAAAGTAATTTTCTTCTTTGCCAAAGCACAGGTTTCACACAAACATGCTTAAATGTACAATAGTTATTCTACGAGTGCACCCTGAAGTAAAAAGGTTGAAAAACAATGATATAAATAAAAGCATATCCCAAAAATAATACCAATTTAATTTTAAACACATGAACATTATTTGCATAATAAAATCTGACAAAACAATTATAGCATCAGTTTCCTCAGTGTATGTAGATGCATGAGCTGTGTTGAAGATCTTAACAAGTACACATAGTCTGGCAGGACTTCCACATTTTCCTGAGAAGGACAGAATATGAAGTTTTCATCTGCATGTTTCAGCCAAATTATTGGCTTCAATAACCTACTGATGATAACCCTGATCCTATAGCCATGATACCTTCTTGTTCAGCTGTGTTAGATAACAACCAAAAGTATGTTGTTTAATTAGTGTGAAGAAACAGTTCTATTTTTCAACAAGCATTTTGTATGACAAAGCTAGTTATAAAATTTGATTTTAAAATGGGTAACTTTTGTCCTTAAACTAATGAATAACTTCTGCATTCATATTAGAATTTAAAATACAAATTTGTAGTAATCTTTTTCACTTCATGCAACATACCCTACATCAAATATTTTATTCATTTACACAATAATTTAAACAAACATGCCTAATTTTATATGACATTAATAATCTTGATTTCTGCTTTAAGGAAATTAGAAAAAAAAAATTAAAAAAAATGAACACATAATAGTAATAAAAATATTTTTGCTAGAAGAATTTCCTCCTTTCATTACAAAAAAAAAAAAAAAAAAAAAAAAAAAACTGTTTTCAACTTTAGATTTTTAATCAGCAAATATGAATCCTTAAAATAAAGGAAAATACCTGTTGTACACTACTATAAATTTGTCATGTATATTTTTACAAGTATCAAAATTTACAAAGCCAAATTTAAAATAAAAAAATTAAATATACTTTGGGCTAATTTAAATATTTCATACCCCCTGCCAAGTTCTTAAAATAGCAAAAATCATTAATTCATTTGAAAGTTTGAGTAATATAAAACAAAAACTCACCTTTTGGAAAAATTCTCCATCAAAAGAGCCAAATTTAAGCCATGCAACTTCCTCTTCCTCATGAAGACTATAGATGCAGCTGGCAGGAATGTCAAAAGTCTTCAACTGTTGGCCACGTAACCTAGCTATAGCCACCATATCATCATCACAAGCCTGATATCCTGAAAATAGCACAACACATTGCTTTCATATTAACCTTTTATCACAAATTATTTATACCAAAAGTTATAAAAGTACACAGTACAAAAGAAAATCAATCTAGACAGTTTCATTTTTTTTTTTTAATATAGTGCTAATACTTTCCAATTATCATTTATATAAGCTTACAGTATGAAAACAATAGAATTAAAGCAAGGTCACAGAGTAATACAAATAAAGAGTAAAAACTATAAAGTTTAAATAACATTTTAAGAGAAAAATTTCCACAAACACAAAACAAAATGAGAGTAATACACATTTAATCTATTATTTGATTAAAGTTAGAATGATTCTTACATTAAATGTTTCTCTTGAAGTTACTATATATGACTGTATCAATATCAAAATGAATATATATAAATTCTTACTGTAAATTTTGAAATGTGAATTATTATATGCTTTGCTACTTAAACGTTTATTCAATACATGAGGGTAGATTTCTGTCATTCTACTTTATATACTTAGAGGATATTTCGTACTAGTTAATAGTCACCATTTTTATTCACCATTGAATCACTTGACAGTTTCTTCCATTGAACCAGAGTATGTGACTTTAGAGCACAATCAAACTCAAGGATTGAACTCACAACTGCCATGGAAACATACCATAACAATCCATTTCCAAAGATTGAATAAAGGTTTTGGTTTGAAATTCAAAAAAGGTTACCTAGTACAAAGACAGACATTTGAAGAAGGCCAAAGTGTACAATGGCTGAAATATTATGAACAAAGAAAAATAAGCATGCTAATCTGAATAGCAAAGTATATAATAAGTAGAAATTCACAACTGTTAAATTTTTAGTGAATGTTAAAAAAGAAAATAAAAAGTGACCTTCATGAACCTCTTAGTAATTAATGCATGTATTTTCTCAAAAATTTCCAGAAATTTCTTTTTTATTCCAATCTGTTGATGGTATGGAAGAAAAAAAAAGAAAAAAGTTTTATGTATAATATTTCATCACATTTTCTCACTATCTGCAATAACCATATTTAGCATGGCAAAATATAATTTTAATTTAACTTATCTACATCTGAAACTATAAATTATTGTTAATCCTTCTCTATAAAAAAAGAAACAAAGAAAAAGTCAAGCTGGAAGTAAAAAAAAGAAAATAATATACCAATTAATGTGAAATGTTCCAATTTTGGACAACGCCAAGCAAGCATCACAAATGGATCTTCATCAGCTTCAATTTCATAGATGTTGGGGTCCCCATTAATGAAACCATCAATGATGTGTATTTCCTTCAGGGTGTTATTGTAGTGCGACGATATGAAACTGATGGATGCAATATTAATATTGGAGCAGAACATCTGCCGGAACTTGGCAAGAGGCATTGAAGGCTGAAGGATATCGAGGAGTACGGCAACGCCTTCAAAGGAGTGAATCAAATTTAAGGTCACTTCTAGGTCGGGCGAATGGTTGCGTAGCCGGCGCCAAGTCTCATTTGTGATCACTTCATGGTCAGCATCAATGCCATGGACATTGATGACCAGGACTTCTAGTTTGGTCTTCTTTGAGTCTAGAAAAATGTGTAGTAGGTCATTGGTCAGGTAGTCATAGTCAAGACTTAGACTGTGAAGTGCTGTAAAATGACAAAAGTCATTTGCATTTAGATCAATGATGCCATAACTCTCAGAGTCTTCTTTCACACTGGCCAGATGCAGCGACTGCAGTGTGGATGCATGGTGTTGAGTTAACAGGTTGACAATTACATTGGAATGCTCTAAAAGCTCTTCCACACAGCCAAGGGCAAAGTGCTGTAAGTGCCGGCTATTCTTGATTAAGGCTTCTATATTGTCAAGGTATCTGCACAGAAAAGAGAAAAAAATTGAAATGTAAAGTATGAAAACTAAACAAATACCACTTTAAATAGTTTCTTTATAGATAATGTTCAAAATATTTAAAACTATTGCTTCATTTGATAAAAACAGTACAAATATACTCATATTAATACAAAGGATGCTCATAAAAAATGAAATAAATTACATAAACTCCTGGTTAATTTAAATGCACAATAAGATTTTATATTTCAAAGAACAATAAAAGTTTAAAATAAAGCAATCACTGAAATATCAGTATTAAGCAATATTAACACTTTAAATTGTAAGATATAAATACAATTATGAAAGAACTAATTACCAAATATTTATCCTGGCTTAATAGATCCTATTTTAATCTGATAAATATCTAGATATAAAAAAGTATATTATTCAATTGAAAAGAATTTTGTTTTTGTCAATCATTATAGTTCAAGTCTTAAATCCTTAAATAAATGCATTGCTAGTTAGAGTAATTTAGAATAGAGTTAATACTGAAAAGTAAAGGAGTGTAATTGTAGACTTCTTAGTTGCCGATTCTTTTTCTTTTAAATTTATAATCTTCCACATGAAATGTGAATTAGAGGAATAATTGAATTGCATGTAGTGTTCAAATTAAATATGAAATCTTTTAACAAATTCAATAAATTTATCTAACCCTGACAAGTGGTATAGCTGCAAAACTGTCTTTTGAACTTTTATTTATTTAGTAACTATTGTTGTTCTATTTTTTCATATTGAGCACTGTTTACAAAAATCTACCTGCCTTTAAATATGTTAAACTCCAGCATTAATAATCTGTGTTATTACTATAATATTTTACAGCTGGTTATTCGTTTTTCGACCACACCTGTCTACTAGGGTGGCTAGCCAATCCCTGTTAGATGCTTGCTCAGGTACATACGTGTTCAATACTCACAAAGCTCACCTGTGGTTTATACTGCAACTATGCTGAGCAGACATTTGTTACAGTTTCTGGGAGAGAGTGCATCATCTGGTGTGATGAAACCCTTGGTCATGATGACCTGTGACTTCATGCTAGCCAGACCAAAAGTAATCCTACACAATTCATTTTGTGAAATTACTGCTTGTGGACTATTTAAAATTACCTTATTACTGAACTGTTTACCATAATTACTGTGGTTGACCCATCTCGCTTTTTAGATTCATTGGTTCAGTTTTTACTTATTATTTGGATAAATCAATTTGCTTCCCTTTTTCTTAAATCATAACCATATCAACTCCTTTAACAGAAATCAAATTTATTGCATTAAGACCAATGTTTAAATTTAAATACTCCTTAAACTGAAGGTACTTTACTGCCCTTCATGGTTACTGCTATATATTTCAAGACTCCATTTACTAATAGTAGCTAAACATTTTTCATGTCTAAAGCCAAGAGTAAGCTCTTAAACATTCCTGCCATGTACAAATTTCAACCTCAAAGAAAACTATATCTACAATTTTTCTAAATTTTGTTTTAAAATTAAACTTATACACAAGTATATGCAATATGTTCTAAATCAACTCAGAAATCATTTGGAATGCATATAAGTTAGGTATGAACATACTTGATTTTAGATACTTTAGAGATAATTGCCGAGAGAAATTGTTTACTCTGATTACCTTGAAAATGGATTATTTTGTAAATTAAACGAAGTAATAAAAATGTTTCACTCTTTACTTGTATAGATTAAATGGTTTTATTTTTAATAAATAATTATTTTGATTCTTTCAGTGTCATTATTTTATTTTTTTATGCCAGATATTTTGTTATTAAAAGTAATCAAACCTACAATTTGCAGATAATTCAGTTTTTTTTTTGTTTTTTTTGTATGCATTTGTTAATACAGTGTCATTTGCAATCTATCATTACTCTTAATTTTTGCTACAGAACTTACAAAAAAAAAATCCTTTAAGCTTTTATTATTGTTAAAAGACACAAACATTTACAAAAAAAAAGGTATTACAACAAAAACTATGATAAAAAGATTTGTAATTATAAGTATTCCTTCGATTTGAATAAGAAAAGTATGGATTCATAGTTATTTCAGTAGCCCCAACTGTCAGTAACATTCCCATGTTAAATCACCAATCTGTTAACTAATTGGTAAACACATCTCATTGCTCATTTATTGTTGATAGATATAATCACCTCCAGACAATTTAAAAGATATATTTTATTAACTATTTTTCATCAACTCATCTTAATGTGACAATTATATTGTTTCAAAATTTTAAATCAGAAACATGATACAATGATAGATGTAATGGCAACAAATGCAAACAATGACTTTAAACCAGTCTAATGCTACATTAAAATATGAAATTAAATCTCTGGATATTTCCTTTGCAATAACAAACTTAAGTATAACTTTTAAATAGGGTGTCAAAGGTTTTGATATTATTTTTTGCTATCAGTCTGCATTATTCATAAATATAGCTTTTGTTGGTTAAGAAAATTATCTGTACATTAAAATACAATTTAGTTATATCTCAAAAAAAAAAAAAAATCAACTGAACAAGTTTTCCATTTTCTGGTTTAAAATATATTGTCTTTATCTTACAGCTGGTTGCACTCAGCAGAAAACTGTCTTGATATACAGTTACCATATTTACATGAATTATTAACTGACAGGACATTCAAGTTAGTGCAACAACAACAGAAAATGGAATCAAGTTTAAGGTGCAGTCATGACTACTGATTAAATTTTTGCACTAATGCTATGAATCCAGCGATTGTTACAAAACTATCTAAGACAGTGCACTTTAAGGAGTTGTAGGGATATATAATAGGTAAATGTAATTAAAAAAATTATAAAAATCACTTTAATATATTTCAATCTCGACACCTCAAAATTCCAGTTAGTTATAAAATTTTTCCAGAATAAATACAGCTCAATAATTAAATAAAAGTAACAAATTGTCATTTTCTATAGGAGAGCATTCTCAGTTATTTTGTGTTTAATTTAGTGGTTTTTACTTGGAATTGTTCAATTTGTGATTCTTTTATACAAACTGATGTTAATTATTGAAGTCTAGTTGCCTCTAGGTGTGCTTGCACACATATCTATCTACTGGTGTAGTTTAACTAATTTATTATAGTCTGCAGTGTTAATCAATACTTCTGTTTGGCTTGCTAAGTTAAATAAATTGAGAGAAGATATACACGACCCATTACATCTGTTATATTCCATGCTAATAGGAATATATACTTGAAAAACAAGGTGGATAAAATAAATAGCGGTTTATTGTACAAAACCAGTACAATAAGAATTAAAGTAACAGTTACACACAAAGTCGTTGCAAGTCAATCCAGTAGTGAGTGCTACTATTGGAAGGTCAGTAGTTCCCGTGTAAGTCCGAGTCGTACTCAACAGATCCCAGCTAGACTCTGTAGTCTGTATACTTATAGGTAGTGACTACCTATAGTGTAGTCAATCATTGGGGGGGGGGGGTTATTCCATTACATCAACTTTTATATTCTTAAATTCCCATAGGCATGGTGCTAGCAACTAAAATTTCAGTTGCAAATGAAAAAAAGCAATTAGTAGGTTTTGGTACACACAAACTGGATCGATATGGCCCGACAATGAAATTTATCCAGAAATAAAATTCATTTGAATCACCCAATGAGAAATTGCATTTTTTTTTTTTTTTAAATAAATCAAGAAACTTAAGTACAAATTAAAAAAAAAAAATTAACCAATGTATAAATAAATACAAAATTCAACATCTCAGTTTTTGTCTGTATGTAACTCCCTGATACTTAGCACATTCACAATGTGAAATGAATCTACATCACTTACATATACAACTTAATTGTGAGAAACTTTATCATTGTGAAGGAATTCATTAATACAGGATGTTTATTCTAAGAACAAAAAACAATGATAGAACATTTTCCAAGTATTCAAAATGTTTTCTTCTCATACCACTTTTATAATATTACAATTACTGTAAGTGTATATAAATGTTTATTTGTTCATAAAATAACTTTTCTCTTCATTTAAAAATATTTTGTGTGCCCGATATTTGCTATATAAAGATAAGTGAGTGCAATAAGCATTCATGTTTATCTAGCAGTTCTGAGCTTCAAGCTATTATGTTAAATGAAAAATTGCAGAAATTTTATTATCAGATTTAGACAGTTATTTCATTAACAGAAATCCTCCACACAAATACTTGGCAAGTTATGAGACAGCACAATTTTTTTTTGTTTTATTTATATAAAATTTTTTTTAATTAAATAGACCAAAATTTTTCACCTTTAAAAAAATATATGCAAATTGGGTACTAAAGATGTTACAAGTACATAAAGTTACTAATCAAATATGCAATACATCTGATTAAACTCGAAGCAAGTTCAATCAATAACCATTGCGAGACAAGGTTTCACATTGAGTTTTTTTCTAAATGTCAAAATCTTGCATAAATACCAAAGTTAGAATTGTGTTAAACTGATAAAAATGTATACATTCAACAAAGTCAAATAGAACATTTTATTGGCATTTGAATTTCAAATGGATCATCTTAGTAATTCAGATATACCCAAAACATAGCTACACTTGAAGTTATATAAAAACAATATTTCCATATATTAATTTTAAATAACATTCCTTTTTAAGAGATATACTTAGATTTAAATCAGCATAACAATTTGTTAACTTGAGTAAAAAGAAAAAAAGGCAATGGTAAAATATCCCTAGATAGAAAATAACTTAAACATATGAAAGTAATCTAAAGATGATGAAAAAGTTTTTACTTTAATAAATATCTATGAAGTAATTAACACGTGGGAAACATTCATTAGTAGTTTCACAAAGTTTCTCAGTTCTGCTAATTTTGCATTTTTTTAAACAGATAAAATCCCTTGTATGTCATTGGACCTTGGCCAAGTAATGAGAGAATTTTCAGTCTCTATTTCTCATAACTGAATATCTGTTATTTTGTGTAAATAATCATTAAATGCTAACTGCATTTTACAAG